GTTGCACACACTGCCTGTGGGCCATTCCATCCACTTCTCGTGGCTTCCTATATTTACTCATTTGGTCCCTATCAACTTGACCAGGCTTACCTTCTCTCTCTTCAGCAAGCTGCACTCCAGCCATACCAACATTGCCAAGCTTGTTAAACACATCTGGCTCTTTCATGCTGCCTTCTGTTTCCACTGCTGGCATTTTCCTCCCTTCTTGATCTGTCTGGCAAACTCTTAATCATTCTTCTTATATTTTACCTTTTTCTGTTAGAAAGTTTTTCCTGACTCCACTGAGTTGTTTCAGTGTGGTGCTGAAAACCAAATGTCCAAAACCACCTTGTACTGTTAGTGTCTTTCTGGTTGTCTCACTTCATAGATATTGTAATTGTAAATCTTCATCCTTGATTTCTCCCTTTTGTTGACTACTTCCACTTCTCCCCCTGTACTTTGAACAGTTCTGTGTATGTGTGTGTGTATATGTACGTAAACAGAGGAGGTTTTTAAAACTTTTTGTACATACATTCACTATATATACATGTGTGTGTTTATATATACACTATACATATATTCACACACATGTATATATATGTGTGTGTGTGTATATATTTATCTTTTCTGTGTGGGTGTAAAAAAGTTTTTTAAAAACCTTCTCCATTGTATAATGACAGAAATCAAGTTTGGTAAATTATTATTTGACCCTACTCATTTATTTAGATAGCACATAGCCTAACCTAGTAAACGACATCAACCAGTTACTTGGTTGTATTTCATTTAGTAATTTAATACGTGAAAAATGACTGTGTGAGGATTTTGCCTTTTTATCTTTAAGCAATCTGTTTTCTTTTGTTTATTTTTGTTTTTAGAACCCTACAGCCGTTCTTTGAAGGTTTATTACCCCGAGATAATCCAAGAAACACTCGATTTGCCATCAACTTCTTTACTTCTATAGGTCTTGGAGGTTTAACGTAAGGATTATTCTCAGAATTTTATTTTCAGATTATAAAGTTATCTCATAATTGTCTTTGAAATAGAATCTAACAGATTATATTTTAAATTAGGGATGAACTACGTGAGCATCTCAAAAATACACCAAAGGTCATTGTGGCACAGAAACCAGATGTTGAGCAAAATAAATCCTCCCCATCCTCTTCCTCTTCAGCGTCCTCCTCTTCAGAGTCTGACTCCTCTGACTCCGATTCTGACAGCAGTGGTAGCAGTTCAGAATCTTCCAGTGAAGAGAGCGATTCTTCGTCTACCGGTAGTCATAGCTCTGCCTCAGGTATTGATGCTCATTTGTAATTTGGCTTGCTCTTTTTTAATAAATATATTGCTGATATTTATGAAGGAAGAAAATAATTAGATTGCTTATTTTAGAGATCAGTTGTTTAAAAGCCACAATTAATACAAATGGTTCCATCTATCATTGCTGCAGTCTGTGGTGCAGTACAACATTTATAATGCTGGGATTACCTTTTGATATCCTCATTATAGAAATGAAAATATTTCATTGGCAAATACTTATTTGAGTTATGACTGAAATACCATGCATAATGTTTGTAATCTAGTTTATAGAAGGTATCCTGATGTTTTTATTTTAAAGAAGATTTGAATTTTTGCTTTTAATATTAAAGCTTTATGTTTGTAATTGGCATATCAGACATACAGTGTGGACCTCAGATGCTATATGAATGTTTATAGAGGGAACACATATCTTGGCCCCTCTGGTCCTTATTTTTCCACTAGCTCTCTGATGCCTTTATATTTTTTGCTTTGTAACTGTAACCTTTTATTTTGAAATAATTTTAGTCTTAGGAAAGTAGCAAAAACAGTACAGAGAATTTCCATATACTCCTCATCCAACTTCCCCTACTGGTAGCATCTTACATAACCATGGTTCATTTATCAAACAGGGAAATTAGCATTGGAACAGCATTATTGAGTAGACTACAGATATGATTTGAAAACCAGTTTTTCCACTTATGTCCTTTTTCTTATTTCAGGATTCTCCTTACATTTAATTGTATTCTCAATTTTCTGCATTCTATGATAGTTCCTCTCAAGCTTTCTCTGTTCTTAATAGCCTTGACACTGTTGAAGTCCTCTGGTCACTTATTTGGTAACCTGTCCCTTAGTATGGAGTTTTGTCTGATGTTTTCTCATTATTAGAATGAGGTTAGACATTTTTGGCAAGAGTACAGTGGAAACAATATGTTGTTCTTAGTGCATCTTATCAAGGGGTTCATAATTTTGAGTGACAGCCTTGATCACTTGAGTAAGGTGGTGCCCACTGGATGTCTTCAGGGAAACTGTTTTTCTCTGTGAAAATATCTTACAGGTAGATAACTTGATAGTATGCAAATCTCTTTCTCCTCCAGCTTTTACTCACTGATTTTATCATCCATCTTTGGACCTTGTTTGCAACACTTATTTTTACTGTGGTGTTTTCCTAATGGTGATTTTTTATTTGTTTTCTTCTACATCTGGTAATTGAATTTCTTCTGTAAGAAAGCATCATCCCTCTTGTCTCATTTATTTATTTAGTCAACTGTATATATCAATATAGACTCATGGTTATTTATCTTATCCTGTGGGTTAAAGTTCAGTACTGTCATTTATTTTGTTCAAATCATCTCAGCTTTGGCAATTAGGAGTTCCTTTAATTTGATTTCTGTGTACTTTTCAACGTTTTTCAATGGGACATTTTAAAATTTTATCTGGCATTTCTAGTTATTTTCAGCAGGAGCACAGGTTTTCCACAGTCTTCTCTATCCTATCTGGAAGTAGAAATGCTGTAGTAAAAGATGTTTTAAAGTTTGGTTCTGGTTCATAGTTTCTGAAAAGACCTGTGTTGTTTTACACAAGGTCAGTTCTGCTTTCTTTCATTACAGTATCGTGGTCCAAGTAAGTGATTGTCTGCTTACCCTACATGCAGGTCATTTCTCATTTTGTTTTGTTTTGATGCAATATTTCATCCAATGTGGCATCAACACTTTCTTCCATAGCCTTAAATTGAAAGGCTAATCTTTGCACCTTTGTTCCATGGCTTGTTATATTTCAAAGTGTTTTACATATTGTGTGACATTCAGAATTCTGGGGTTGTCTGTTTTTTATATTATCAGAGAAAGATTATTTGATTATAGGAACTTTAATTCTTGTATTTAAGTGTACAAACGTTGTTCATTTAACATTCACAATTTTTATATTCTGCAGAAATAAAAATTTTTTCATGGTATCCATTTTGAGAACAGATGATAACACAGCATGAATTTCTTCAATAAGGAAGCTTGCTGATTCAAAATTAATTTGCCTCCTCATACAATTTCAGTAGAGAACTTTGTTTTATTAATGAAACATTAGATAGCATAAGACCAGTATGAACTTCCCCAAAATTAGGAAATTGTAAAACAAACATAGCAAAGGGAGAAGAGACTGCCTATTGTTATGTGGGTGGGTTTTTATATCAGGAAAGCCTGAGAGTACTACTGTACAATAGAGTCAGGGGGACCTTGGTTTAGCACAGAGCCAGATGGCTTCTGCTTGGGTAGCTGCAGCTCAGCTGAGCTGTTTGATAGGAACCAGAGAAACAGGTCCTTAGTGGCAGACCAACTGACTGTACCATGTGCCAAGGGTAGGCATTTAGCAGAAGAAATAGAGGTTGGTACAGTGAGATTTAGGTAGAATTGGGGTGACGAGAGGCACTTTTCTATCATATTTTCTCTTTCCTGCATATGTGTGAATTTGACAGACATTTTTTTTATCTTAGCATCTTTGATTTATGCACCCAAATTAAATAACAGATAAACTGACTAAATTTGTTTTGTTGCTTAAAATGATAAGTTATTTCAGTATAATCGTTTTGTATTTATAGTTGGGATTATATCAGCAAAATTAAATTGTTTGAGGTCTTTTTAGAAGAATTTCTTCAGAAACTAAGCATTTGTGGCTCTAATAAAGCCTATGACTGTAAATCTTAACATATCTGCTCTTTTTGGTGCATTTAGTGCATCTCTCCAAGTATCAGAGAGGAGAACTATTGTTTTGGCAGGAAGAGGCCTTTCACTGAGAAATATATATTCATACTATTAAGCAAACCCAGTTGTTCTACTCCTCCTGTGTTTAGGAAGCGATTGCTAGTTTGTGTTATCATTGTATTTTGATTAGGTACCACATCTGACATAATATTCCTATGAATAACACACATGGGATGGAATTTCAGTTTTTGGATTACATTTGTTAAGTGGAAATGTACTATTCGAGTCATTTTCTAAAAATTTTTACATTTGCTATAAAATTTCTTTTTACTGTCTTGAATCTAAAGATCAAAACAGTACTTTGGTAACTAATGTTGAGATATTATGTATTCCCTTTCCTTTCTTCTTCCTTTACTTTCCTCCTTTCCTCCTTCTTCCCCTTCCTTTTTTTTTTTTTTTTTGGCAGAGTCCCACTTTGTTACCCCGGCTGGATTGCAGTACATACTTTGTTTACTCAACTTTTGCCTCCTGGGCTCAGTTGATCCTCCCACCTCAGTCTCCTGAGTAGCTGGGACTGTAAGTGCATGCCACCACACCTGGCTAATTTTTGAGATTTTGTAGAGAGGGGGTTTCACTACATTGCCCAGGCTGGTCTGGAACTTCTGGGCTCAAGCAATCCACCTCCCCACTGTCCCTGCTTCCAAAAGTGCTGGGATTACAGTCGTGATCTGCTGTGCCTGGCCTGAGGCGTCGTATATTCTTAAATATTAAGCATTTGTTAAGACCCTGTGTCATCAGACCTTCTATTCAAATCAATTTGGCTTTGCGTCCAGCTTATATGAGTTAGTAAACCTACAGTGTATCTGTAAATGTGATTGTTGTAATTATGAAATTAAGATTGAAATAAAAGCTAACTGTCTTTTTTTTTTTTTTTTTTTTTTTTTTTTTTTTTTTTTTTTTTTTTGGCATATGCAGCTAATGATGTAAGAAAGAAGGGACATGGGAAGACCAGAAGTAAAGAAATAGATAAATTGATCAGAAACCAGCAAACAAATGATAGGAAACACAAAGAAAGAAGACAAGAACAAAGGCACCAGGAAACAAGGACTGAGAGAGAAAGAAGACCAGAAAAACACAGAGATCAAAATTCAAGAGATTCAAATTGGAGAGATCCTATAACAAAGTACACATCAGACAAAGGTGTTCCTTCTGAACGAAATAACTACAATAGAGTTGTGAATGACATAAACCAAGAAATGCATATAGATTTGGAAAATAAGCATGGTGATCCCAAAAAGAAGAGAGGAGACAGAAGAAATTCTTTTTCTGAAAATGAGAAGCATAGACACCGAAATAAGGATAATGAAAATTTTAGAAGAAAAGATAGATCAAAGTCAAGGGAAACAAATAGAAAACACTCTGGCTCAAGAAGTGATGAAGACAGATATCAGAATGGTGCCGAGAGACGTTGGGAAAAATCTAGCAGATACTCTGAACAATCCAGAGAATCAAAGAAAAATCAGGACCGGCGGAGAGAAAAGTCTCCAACAAAACAAAAATAATTCTACAAAATGACATAAACTGGACATGCCTTATATTCAGTTGAAGCATATTATTTTATACTTTCATTGGCGAACTTTATAGAGAATTCTTGTATAAAGTAATGGTTTGTATTTGTAAATTTAAAACATGTTTTCATGTTTTATAATTGATACATCTCAAGGCCCTACACATAAAATTATTTGAGAAGATTCACCAGAAATGGATGTAAGTCTCACTTATATTTTATGAATAAAATTATCAAATTGCTCATTGATTCAGTCATTTTCTTTAATTGACAAAATTTTTTTTTGAATCAAGAAGCTGTTACAGTGAATTATTAGGGCTTTTCTTATTTCTAACTGAAGACCGAAACAGGTGAACCTTTTCAATTTAACATTTTTGCTTTGTTAATGAGATGTGATGAACCTTTTTTAAGTGGTCACTTCTTTTTTAAAGCAGAGGATTTATTACAATGTTCATATTAGGCTTTGAACAAAGTAAGTAATGTGTAATTTGTTCACAAGTGCTGGTAAAGCGAGGTGTGTGTTAGTCTTTAAACCAACACACGGTTGTTTATAATTAGGACTACTCCCGCAGGCAACATTTCTTCTCTGTGGACTGCTTGATGTCATTTAATTGAAATTCTTTGTGATTAGTACATTTTTCTCGGCCTTGAAGTTTTGTCACTGTTGATGAATTAATATGTATTTAATTTTTAATTTCCATTAATAGATCATTGGAAAACACACAGTTGTGAGATATGCAAGCAGCCTAACTAATTTGTTTTTTATACGAATTTTAAGGGTTTCCATCATTGTAACTGTCACCGATTAATTAACATGACCATATTATTTATTACTTTTGAAATAAATATTACCTCTGAGATCTTAGACTTGCTGGCAAACATTTGACCTTACTTGGTAAATGTGGACTTCTTGTGCTTGCTCACCTTAAAGGTGCATATAGTTTGTTTTAGCCAATGTTTGGTTTCAGGAATACTGAGGCCACCATTTTAATGTTTAGTTTTTGGGCATATGCTAATTCAAAATGTTTCCTATTTTTGTTGTTTAACTTGAGTATAAGTAACAATAAAATTCATGTAATTAAATATCCGCGCCTTCTCTCCGCTAACTCACAAAAAGCGTTCATTTGAATGAGATAGATAAATTCTTTTTAGTGTTTTCTCCCTTTGTGGTGGTTAAAATTTGGTATCATCAAAAGGAACTGTCATAGACATAGTGCATTCCACAGAACTACAAGCTGAGCAGATTGGATTTAACAAACATGTAGGCCATAAGCCCTAAGGGAAATAATTTATTTTTTTACCTGAACCCTCATCTTCAGGGGCGGTAAAAAGGAAAAAATAGTAGACTAGGAATTTTAATTTACTTTTTTCACTTAAACCTTAGTTCATGACTTTTACATGTAAATATGGGAACCCATTCTTTTTATTAAGTGCTTAAGACCTTAGAGTAGTTAGATTCTTTTTTAATGTTATTAATATGTATTAAGCTTTTACTATTTGCTCACGTTTGTTTTAGTTACTAGAAATAAAACTGTAAAGAATTTCTACGCTTTGGGGCTTATAGTTCAGGGGAAGGAGATGGTAAACAAAGACAATAAATAAATATGTGATATATCTAGTAGTGATAAGTGCTATGAAGTAAAGCAGAGAAAAGCAAGACTGAGTGACTGGGGGACAGGTGTATAGAAGGTCAGAGCAGTTCTCTGATGAGGTGATGTTTGCCCAGATACCTGAACAGAGTGAGTACTTGAGACGTGGATTCCTTGGGAAGAACCTTATAGGCAGAAGGAATAGCTGAAATACAAATGTTTTTTGATAGCAAATATCCTGGAAATTTTTGTTAACATTTCCTATTCTACTTAATTTGTGTTTTGTCATCTGTGTGTGTGTGCTTCTCACTACTTTATATACTCTTCTACAAGCAATTAATGCCTGACTACCTCTAGCAGAAGTATTTTAAGTGAGTCATATCAGAAGTAGAGACTAGAAGCTGGATTGAGGAACTATCCTGTTCTGCCTTCAGAATGCATTTCTACAGCATCAACTGTGATGTATTCACATGTACTGTCTGCTACTCAGGCAGACTTTTCACCTTCATCTATTTAATGTGTAAACAAGAAACATGTTGCCTATGTTTGCTGTTTCTATATTTTTACACTATTTTTAGAGTTGGCGTTTTTTAAGGATCAACTGAGTTCTAGATATTTTGCATGCTCATTCCTTTTCAGCTTCTCAATTTCCTTCCTTCCAAAGTTCTAATTCTACATCCCTAGCTACCTGCTCCCATTGTCGTCCCTTTAGGTTGACTTTCAAATCATACCACCTCTGAAATCCCTCCTTGAAGCATCATACTTTGGCAACTGCCCATCCAGTTCACCTGCTTTAGTACTGTTATTCTAGAAGTCCTTTCACCTCAGCAAACCTCCTGATCCATTGACTTCATTATAATCAGTTACCAGTCCCCGCTCATGGATTTCTTTACTTCCTTCATTCCATGATCTGTCATTCGAACAGATAAATGAACAAATCAACGAATTTAGTTCTTTCAGAACAACCCCATGAGAATTGGTGGTGTCTTCCCACATCATAGAAGAGGAGACTGAAGTCCAAGGAGACTAATTAGGCTCAGGCCACAAAGTTGGTAAAGTAATGAGATTTAACTTCAATCATTTTCATTCCAAAGCATAACTGGAGGATGAATTAAACCCGGAGAGAAGGACTTGAGAATCAGCTCTGTCTCCTAGCAGCTGTGTGAACTTAAGCAAGTTATTTCACTTTTCTGACCTGATTCATCTTGAAAATACTTGTGTCTACCTTACACAGTTGTAGTGAAAATTATATGAAATAATGAAGTCAAAGGGCCTAGAGTAGCATGTAACATAAAATGTGCATTCAACAGAGTTTTTTCACAGCATACAGCAAAGATTTGGAAGGAAATTCAGGCTCATCAACTGGTTCATTAGGATTGCTTCATTCCATCTATAATGCCATTTGTAGTTTTTAAAAATGTGTGTTAAAATACCAACACAGCAAAATGAATTGATTTTTCTGGAGTCAAGGTGTGACAGGGTAATTATCCATCATTTCTATCATTGTACCTGTTTCCCAGATGTACATATCCTTTTAGCTCAAGCACCTTGCTTCCTGCGTCTTACACTACTACTTCACATTTCTCAAATGTGTTATCAGAAACAAAAGTTTTGGTTATCCATAATAGTTATGAGTGAAGTTTTTATTCTTGAGTTACTTTGTTTACACCATTTTCATTTTGATGTAACTTATGTGTATCCCCCCCAAAAAATATATTCATAGATTAGCAGATTAAAATCTTCCCCATAGATCTTTTTTTCAGAACCCTGATGCTTTTGTTTTCCAATCCAATTCTCACTTTTTCCAATGTAGTTAAATGTCCTTTCTGTCTGATCTTTCAGCTTCTCTCACTCTGTTCCCTGTATATTTCACAGAATGTTTCTTCAGCCAAGCAAACTTTAACACCCACTGTTACTTTAGCAGAGAACTTAGAGTGCCCACTGTGACATCTCAGAAACCTGTTCCCTTAACATGGACATTCTTCACATACACTTTGAAATACTGAATCATCTCCAAGTGGTGTTTCTGGCTCTCTTGTGTCCCCTCAGCCTTGAATATGGTCTACAGCTTCCATTTATACTCACCCACATGTTGCTAAATCTCATTAAAAACCTGAGGCTGTTGCATATCTCCAATTAGAACTTAAGTTTCTTGAGTTGATTAGTTGTATCTATGCGTTTTATGTCTACTAGACATAAAAATGAAGACAAGTCTCTACCACTCCCACATTCTCCTCCCGCCACCCAAAGTTCATGATTTATGGTGAGAAACTAAGCTATTGAGTTCATCTCAGATCATCGTAGGCACAGATAGAAGAAGCAATGAGATAACCACCCAGGTGTGCATGTTCATGTGTATACTGCAGAAAAGAGCACAAGTTCCTGTGGCTGAAGTGAAGGTAAGTATTTGCTTTTAGGAAAAGACCCAGATTTCATATAGAGTAACTTAGTACCATTTAATTCGAATACTATTTGGCAACTGCAAATGAAGTCTGACTGCATTTCTCATCTCACCATTACCACTTTCTGGCTGTTGACATTTAGGCAGATCTTTTAACCTCTTAGTTTTTTCACTTGTACAGTGGTAGAATTATAGCACCTCCCTCAAATGGTGGGTGATCTCTGTGGCACACTTAGAGCCTGCAACTGAGTGCTCAGTCTGCTATTATTGCTCTTACTGATTTTATTCTTACCATTGTCATTAGAGCTGTCACAATGCCACTAGACCAGGATTTGCAGACTCCAGTACCTACAGGGGCCAGGTGAGTATCAAAAATGAGACAAATTGGGTAGTGAATCGGAGTCATTTAGAGCAGCAGCATTTACTCAGCTTTATCCAATTCTACCTGTAAAAATGAAGACAAGGTTGACCATCTGCCTGATATTTGAAAGAATAAAAGAATCAGAATTTTTACTTGCTTCTGATTTTTAAATGTTGACAATTATTAAACAGGCCAGAATTAAGCTGTCCAAACAAAATAATCTACAGGTAAACTACTGTAGCTAATTTGTGACTCCACTCTAGACTCTTAAAAACTATTACTTAATTTTGGAATGGCACTGTTTGTAATACAAAGAAGGTCATTTTTCAGTTTCTGCTTCTCATAGAGTGGGAGAATAAGGTCCTTCAACTTTCTGGAAAAACCTTTTACTTTGCTAACCTCAACAATCCCCACTAGCTAAATTGCTGTAAAACTTTTGTCAAGTTTTAGTTCTGCACTAAATTGGCCTACTTCCTCCCGGTAATCCAAGGATGAAAAATACGATTCATTTTTCCTCAAATCTGCATATTTTCTAATGTCCTGCACTTGGTTCCAGCAATCTCCCATCACCTGAGTTTTTATTGCTATTCTATGTCCAAATCACCAAATTTCTTTGGAAAAACTTTGGCATGTATCTGTATCTTCCCACACGAACTGCTGTCACCATAGTTCTGGCCCTTTTTACTTTCTCTTTTCTGTTTGAACTGTTAAACAGTAGTTTATTGGTCATCTGCGGTGTGTCAGGTACTCTGCTAGTTGCTGAGGACACAGACATGAGCAACAGAGACCTGTTCTCAGTTGAGCCTAAAAGATTGCAGGAGGAAGCAGAAAATAATCAACTTGTAAAAAAATAAAAACGTATACTTTGAAAAATGTTAGCCATTCAGAAAAGCTGAGAGAATAATGCAGTGACCACTTACGTATCATCCACCTAGAATCAGATTAATCGTAAGTATTATTTTCATCCTGTCACAGCCTTATATGTTGAAGCAGTGACTCTTCCAGCCTATAGGATAAATATAAATTTCCACCCTCTTACTTTAGTTTTTTTTTATTTTATTTTATTTTATTTTTTTAAGTTCACCCTGTCTTTCCTTAATGTTTGCTGTAGGAGCTGCCATCCTTTAAGCACGACGATGTGACAGGCATGTCAGTGTCTAATTTTTACAGGAACAACTGTAAGGTAAGAGATTTCCCGGTTTTACAGCTTGCACACTGGTGTTTACCCAGCCAAGATGTGGCAGAGACAGGACTCTGTCATCCACATGATCCCACTTGACAAGTGAAGATGTTTTTTGCTGATTGCCTTGCTGCACAAACCCTGCAGGACAGGGCTGGTTATTTACTGTCGTGAAAAGACACTGTTCTTTCTTATCTCTGGATGTCTGCCTCCAGTGTACCCTTCACTTGAAATAGCATTTTCTGTTTGCCTATCCAAATCTTTCAAAACTCAGCACGTCTACCTTGCTACTCTCTTAAAGCATGCAATTCAAACCCCATGTGTTAAAAGGCCTTTTAATCAGTACTTAATGCATTGTGCATTGAAATTATTTTCATCAGTGCTTCACCATGTTGGCTAGGCTAGTCTCAAACTCCTGACCTCACCATCTGCCTGCCCCGGCCTCCCAACGTGCTCGGATTACAGGCGTGAGCCACCGTGCTCAGCTTCCAGCTTTCATTTTAGATAAGGAATACATGTGTAGGATTGTTACATAGGTATATCACACCCTGG